GGCGCATTAACCCACAGTGCCACACCAGGACTTGTACTGAGTGTTTATTAAGTGATAAACACTATGCTAAGTAAGCTCTTTACACATAACCACCTCATTTCTCAACAAATCTGTGAGGTGGGTAGTATAATTATCCCCATTTTACTGATGATGAAATAGAGGCTCAGAGAGATTAAGTAACTTGCCTGGAGTTTCCCAGGTAAAGGCAGAAACAGGATGCTCTCAAAGCTCTTTGCCTCTAAAGCTGTGCTCTTCACTGCTATGGTATTCAAGCTCTACGATCAAACCAAGTTACTGATCCGCCAGAATGGAAACCTATGTCAATTCATCACATGTAAGGAGTAAAACCCCTTCTAACAATGATTCCATGTTTCCAGAAACAGAGCTTAGTTCAGAATTCAAATAAATTGGTAAAAGCATACCCTAAGGGAAAGATATTAACAGATGTACTACTCATCAAGATGGAGCAAACGAATAAACACAGGTCCCTTCCAAGGGACCTAAACACAAGTACACTTTATCAAGCATCAGGGTCAGTGTGACAAAAGTAGAAAAGGGAAAACTAAAATAGGAATTGAAAGCAGAACTGTAAAAGATGTAGAAATGCCTTAGCCCACGCACATAAGGGCCTCACAGCAGACTAGGAAGTAGCTGCAGGGAGGTCCTGGCAGGAGTCAGTGGCCATGAGCTGAATTTGCAATAACCGACCAACATGCAGAGTTCTACCATAAACATTAATCAATAATTAATGGGAATAGCAACAACGGACTTAAACATAGCAATCAATTGCAACAATGGTACAGGACCCCACAGTGTTTTGTTCTGTTGCACATAGATAGGGTCTCTAAGTAAATTTAGTAATTTACTTTGGATAGTAATTTACTCTCAACAAATTTTACAGTTTTTATGGATTCTGGTCGATACTGGAAGGATCCCTGAGGGTGATGTAGGATAAGCACTGGAATGCTAACCGTAAGGCCGGTAGTTCAAATTCACCAGCTGCTCCTTGGGAGAAAGATGAGACTTTCTGCTTTCATAAAGATTTACAGCCTCAGAAACCCTATAAGGAGTCACTATGGGTCGGAATAGACTTGATGGCAGTGAGTTTTGTGGGTTTTTGTTTTTTTTTTTGAAGTTCCTAAAAAACTCAAGAAGGTGTCACAGAAGAAGTGTCGTTTGAGTAGGGGTAGAAATATGAGTTTAAAAAGTAAAGAAAAGGAATCACACTCCAGGCAGAATTTCTTACACAGTAAAATTTACTTGGGTCTGTGCTCTATGTTGCTAAAAGTATATATTCGTGGAGGTGGAGCCTCCATTTGTGTCAAGATATGAAGATGAAAAGGCCAGTTGGGGTCATGAGGTGAGGAACAATGGATTCCATGCCAAGGAATTTGGCCTTTATTCTACAAGCAATCAAAGTTATGAAGTATTTCTAAGCAGGAGAAGGAAAGGGCCATTTGCCAAGCCTTTCTACCAAGACCACCCAGGGAGCCCATGGCATATGAGGACTGCTAGGATTAATTAGCTCAGTCACCTGGACAGACACACCTGCAGATAAAGGAGGTCATTACAATGCTTGACAAAACTTAAACTTCAAGCAAAAACGGAATCTTACCAAGTTTGCTTTAAAAGTCATGTACTGTAACATAACAAATTTTAACTTGAGTTTACAGTCAGTCCCAACTAAAAATCTGTGGTCCAGAAAATGGCAACTATACAAGAGGACTTCAAAGCTCATGAAAAAAGTTCCAAGATCTTTTCATTCCATGTTTCCATTTACTTTCTGAAGTTCCCTCACATAACTATTGTTGTTGTTGCTGTTAAGTGCCGTCGAGTCGGTTCCGACCCATAGCGACCCTGTACAGGGTTTCCAAGGGTGTAAATCCTTACGGGAGTAGAAAGCCTCATCTTTCTCCTGCGGAGCGGCTGGTAGTTTTGAACCACTGACCTTAAGATTCGCAGCCTGATTCGTAACCACTACGCTACCAGATATTAGACAGTAAATACATATGTGGAAATTTTTCTCAAACCATTAAATAACTTCTGATAAATTGGCAGATTAGGCAGACATGCTACAGAGACTCTCCACAACAAAGATACAGGAGACCTAAGAATTGATACTTTTGAGTTATGGTGTTGGAGAAGAATATTGAAAGTGCCATGGGCTGCCAAAAGAACCAACAGATCTGTGTTGGAAGAAGTGCTCCTTGGAGGCACGATGGCCAAACTTCATCTCTCATACTTTGGACATATTGTCAGGAGGGACCAGTTGCTGGAAAAGGATATCATGTTTGGTAAGGTGGAGGAGGGTCAGAGAAAAAGAGGAAGACCCTCAGTGAGTTGGATTGGCAAAGTGGCACCATCAATGGGCTCAAATGTGGCAACAATTGTGAGGTTGGCCCAAGAACGGGCAGTGTTTCGTTCTGTTGTACATAGGTAGGATCACTATGAGTTGGTACCAACTTGATGGCACCTAACAACAACAACAACAACAACAAATAAAACAGCCACACTGGATAGTCCTGGAACCCCTACACTGTAGAGGAAAGGTTGAATACCTACTGAGAGGAGAAGTTGAGCAGGGGCAGGGAAAAGTGGAGGCTGACTGGTGAGTGGATTGCTAGCCAGATACAGTGCAGCCATCTTGAATTTTGGGGAACAGCTTTAGAGAGACAGACAGGCAGATTCTTAGACTCTGAAGGCGCAGATTCACACAGGCAACAGGAGAGATGTGATTCCTTCTTGTTCCCCATACTCCTTTGGATGACAGAGTTAAGTCTGGCCCACCTTCATCTACCCCAGCACAGACCCTGCTCGCCAGAAGTTCAGAGCCTCAAGTTTTGAGCCAGTGAAGTGGCCTCACCTCGGTGCCTGTATTCAGGCAACCTCTGCTATAAATCTATAGAACCTACAGAGCCTACAGGCCAGAACTATGTAGCAGGAAACTTCATAATGAGCTACTGTGCCCCTAGTTGCCCTCAGGCTCCGGCAGACACTAAAACTAGCAACAGGAAGGGCCTCCACAAAATACTTCTAATTCCGTACCCTGAACACAGACAACACCTAAGCCTATAGGAACTCCACCTAGGGCTGGGAACTTTGCTGTTACATCCCTCCTCCACCCACCTCCGGAGTTCCTTGGCTGGCAGGGGTCCCTGAGAGTTCTCTCTTTTCTGGGTCTAACAACTGCACTCATTTTTAGTTCATATTTTCTTTCATTGTTTCATTGTTTTTGTTTATTCTTTCCTCTCCTTCTTCCTCTTTTCCTTCTCTTGATTTTTATTCTTTCTATTTTCACTTTTGTTTTTTTCTTCTGTTTCTCATTTCCACCCTCTTCTTTCTTTCCACTTAATTTTGCTTTACTACTCTCTAGTCTCTTTTCATCTTCCCTCTGTTTTTTTTAGTGTTCCTTTCTCTTCCTTTTGTTCTTCTTTTTCTTTTACAGAGCTCTATTTTCCTGCCCTCTTTTCTCTTTTTAGTTATCATATTATTTTTTTTCTTGTTGCTGCCCATTTCTCCTTTATTGTATTCTGTTTTGCTGTTGTTCAGTTGTTCTGTTGTGTTTTCCTGTGTGTGTTTTTACCTCTTGTCCTACTCAATGGAAGACAGTAACTGCGTTCATACAGCTCCACCAACTGGAAAAGAGCAAATCCCAGCTCGTTAGTGGTTAAAAGTCCAGCTGCGAACCTCAGGGTCAGCAGTTAGAAAATACCAGACATTCCACGGAAGAAAGATGGGCTTTCTGCTCCTGTAAAGATTACAACCTTGGGGACCCTATGCAAGGTCACTATGAGTTAGAACCGAGTCCACAGCACACTACCACCACCATGCCACCTTATAAACAACAGAATCAGCCAATACAGGCCAAAACTACACTAATCTGAGCTGCACAAACAATGAATGGGAAACAAGGCACACTTTTCCACTGTCTAATCTTACTCACAAGAAGACAGTTGGTGAGAGCCTAAGAACACACTAACACACAATCATCAAATAAATACAAATACTATGTGACACCACAAAGCAGGGTAAACTCAAAGAAAAGTAAAACTTTTACATCAAAACAAGAAAAAGGAAAATCATAAAGATTTAGTAAACATGAAAACAACAGCAATGAAGATAATGAAAAAAACCCCACAAACAAAATGAACTCAGTGTAATTTATAATTTATGTGGAACAAAGAAACTAGCAATACACACAAAGCAAAATGACAGAAATTAGTCCTAACCTATCGATAGTTGCACTGAATGTCAATGGATTAGATGTACCAGTCAAGAGACAGAGAGTAGCAGAATGGAAAAGAAAACAGGATCCTTCAATATGCTGTCTTTAAGACACACACCTTACACACAAAGACAAAAATAGATGAAAAATCAAAAGATGGAAAAAATACATCAAGCTAACTGCAAACAAAAACAAGCGGGAGTAGCAACAATACTCTCTGATAAAAAAGACTTTAAGGCAAAAACCTGTATAGGAGACACAAAGTAGAACACTGCATCATGAAAATAATGCAACCACTATGGAAAATGGCTAGGACCCTTTCTCAAAAAGCTGTACATAGTAATACTGTATGGCCCAGTAATCCCTCTACTTGGTATGTATATCTTTAAGAAATGAGAACCATGGCATGAATACGTGTATGTACAGTGCAGCACTATTTATGATGTTTCAATGTTCAATATTCTGGTGCTGACAGTGTTCCACTGCTATTCACTAGGTTTTCATTGGTTAAACATTAAGAAGCAATCCACCTCTCCTTCTTCCTAGTCTGTCTTAGTCTGGAAGCTCAGCTGTAACCTGTCTACCACGGGTGACCCTGCTGGTATTTAAAACACCGGTGGCATCGATTCTAGTATCACAGCAACACACAAGCCACCACAGTACAACAAACAGAAGAGTGGTGGAGCAAAAAGATGGAGACAGCTTAAATTTCCATCAACAAAAGAATGGTTAAGCAAACTTTGGTACATACACACTATGGAATACTACACAATGCTGAAGAATAATGATGAATCTGTGAAACACCTCATAACCTGGATGAACCTGGAGGACATTATGCTGAGTGAATTAGTCAATCACAAAAGGACAAATGTTGTATGAGAACACTGTTGTAAAATGTTAAGAAAAGGTTTTCTTGCTAAAAGAAACATTCTCCGATGGTTACACCAAGGGTGGAAAGGAAGAGAAAAGTATTCATGGAGTAGAGGGTTGTTGTTGTTAAGTGCCATCGAGTCAGTTCCGACCCATAGCGATCCTGTATAGGGTTTCCGAAGATCAGCTGGTGAGCTTGAACCGCCGACCTTGCAGTTCAAACGGCTTTGCAGTCTGACGCATTAACCCACAGCACCACACCAGAACTGGTGATGGGGAAGGCAACATACTTTCAACAAGCGGGAGACTAGCACAGAAAACATGGAAGCAGAAGACACAGAGGAGTACAAATGTAAAAGTGAATAGAGGTTGTTGTTGTCATGTGCCATTAAGCCTGTTCTAACTCAGAGCGACCCTATATAGGGTTTCCGAAGAGCAGCTGGTAAGTTTGAAACGCCAACCCTGTGGTTCAAACCATTCATGAGGTCCAGCGCATTAGCCTGCTGCACCCCGCCAGTGAATAGAGGTGAATGCTGATAACTGATGGTACAGGGAAGGGATTACAATCACTGTCACAAAGAGTATGATATGTTGGATGTGGGACTATAAACCTTTACTCAACTCACAATAAAAATTTTTTAAAAAAATAAATAAATAAAGGAAACAGTTTGAAGATAAAAGGGAAATTATTATGATAGTAATATAAACTACATATGTGGACTCTGTCTCCTAAAATACAACAAAACTATCTTTGTTCTAAATACAAACAAGAGGACAAAAAAAAAGATGGTTAAATAAAGGCACACATATTTTGCAAATCTCCAAAAATAGAGAAAGAACTAGTCTTGAGCTACATTTCTAACAAGTGAAGTGGCTTAAGAACCAATCTACAGTGGAAGGATATAAATTAGGAACTAACCGTAGTGGTTACGAATCGGGCTGCGAGCCGCAAGGTCAGCAGTTCGAAACTACCAGCTGTTCCGCGGGAGAAAGATGAGGCTTTCTGCTCCCGTAAAGATTTACAGCCTCAGAAACCCTGTGCAGGGTCGCTATGAGTCGGAACCGACTCCACGGCACTTAACGACAACAGATCATTTACCCTCTTCTGCCACTCCATTCCTCCTTTTCCTGCTGATCTTTCTGAACATTCCCAAAGAAATTTAACACATTCTTATAGTCAAATGGTTTATCAAGTTTACTTTAGCAATGACACCCTGAAAACACTCTATTATTTATACATATATAGCAATTAAGTGAAGGGGCCCTGATGGCACTGTGAGCTAAGCATGGGTCTACTAACTGCAAGGTCTGCGATTCAAACCTACCAGCAACTTTGCAGACAGTTGTTGTTGTTGTTAAGTGCCATCGAGTCGGGTCCGACCCATAGCGACCCTGTACAGGGTTTCCGAGGGTGTAAATCTTTACGGGAGTAGAAAGCCTCATCTTTCTCCCGCGGAGTTGAGGCTGCCTGATATTCTGTGACTCATAGCAACCCCAGTTCTAACCATAATGTCTGCAATATAAAACTACCAGCAACTTTGCAGAATAAGGAGGAGGCTGTCCGATCCTGTGACTCACAGCGGCTCTGTATAGGGTTTCAGAGACTATAAATCTTGACGGGAGCAGAAAGCTTCATCTTTCTCCTGCACTGGGTCTGGCGAACTTGAAATGCTGACTTTGCAGTTAGGCTATTTGGACTCCTGAGAAGCAGTTCTCTATCCTACACAGGGTGGCTATGAGTCAGAATGGACTCAATGACAGGGGGGTTCGGATTTAGTCAGATAGTTTTTCAATTTTACTTCAGCATTGTTGTTGCTGTTAAGTGCCATCAAGTTAATTCTGACTTATAGCAAACCTGCATAGGGTTTCCAAGGAGCAGCTGGTGGGTTTGAACTGCCGAACCTGTGGTTCTCAGTCCAGTGCTGATCCTACAGCACCACACCAGGACTCCTACTGTAGCTATGTAAACCCTGAAAATAGGGCTTCATTTATAAACATAACAGATAAAATGCAGAGAGTGGTAGCACTGGAGCACCCTAACTTGGCCTCTACTTTGGGGTTCACCCATCATCTCTCTAAGACAGCTCCCCAAAGAGCCCTTGGTTTTCTGAAACGTACTGCTGCTTGTCCAAACCCTTCTAATTGTAAATAAATTGTAGACAGGAGAACTAAGTAAGGAAACCACCCCAATGTCCCAGTACCTCTACTAAAACTAAAATGGTTTCTCTTCCTCATAAACTCTTAACTCAAATTTCTGTGTTAAAACACGTTCTTTAAAGAACTAATGGACCCCATGAACCACAGACTCCACAACCTTGAGACCACAGAACTTCATGAGCGGCTCGGATCAGGACCACAATAGAAGATACTCGACAGAGGAGAGGGGAAAAAAGGTAGAATAAAATTCAAAATCATGAAAAGAGCAGACTTACTGGTCTGACTGACTGATGGAACCCCTGAGACCATAGCCTTCAAGCCTGGAATAAAACCTACCCTAGGGATAAACATTTCAGCCAAACAATAGGCAGGCCTATAAAGTGGGTAATAAATAACACAAGGAAGGAATGTATTTATTCCTCAGTTATTATTGTTGGTAAGGGACTAGAGACAAGTCCCACTCTCAACAACCCTGTATAGGGTTTTCGATGAGCGGCTGGTGAGTTTGAACAGCTGACCTTGCAATTCTAGCCAATTTTGTGGTCCAGGCATTGTCTGGCAGCACCACATCAAGACTCCTACTCCTCAGTACAATCAACCATATGAGAATAGAATGGAACTATTTGCTCAAAAACAAAGCTCATGAATAAATGTAAAGAGGGGAAAGAATGCTGTTACCCTGAGGGGATTGCAACCACTATCACAAACAAAATGTATTTCAATTGTTAGATGGAAAACTAATCTGCTCTGTGAACTCCCACCCAAACTACAAGAAAAGTCCGACAATGAAAGAAATTGTTCTGTAAGCCTAAGGGGAAGTGAATTTCTATTAATGAAGGAGGAACAACTTAGAAAAAGAGGTTGAGAATGATTGCACAACTTTAAAAATGTAATCAGTGTTGTGCATGTACAGTAAAAAGTTGTACATGTAAAAACTGTTGAATTGGTATATAATTTGTATATATTCTCAACAACAAACAAAAAATAAAATTTAGGGAGAAAAGTGGTTCCTTCCAAATTATTCAAAAGTTCATGTCATTACTCTATTTGTTGTTGTTATGTGCCGTGGAGTCGGTTCCGACTCATAGCGACCCTGTACAGGGTTTCCGAGGCTGTAAATCTTTGCGGGAGCAGAACACCTCATCTTTCTCCCGCGAAACAGCTGGTAGTTTCGAACTGTTGACCCTGAGGTTCGCAGCCCGATTCGTAACCACTACACTACCAGAGCTGTACTCCCATCAAAATTCACATAGAGTATTAACCAAGCACTTCATAAGTGCCTACTCAAGGACATATGTTGTTGTTGTTGTTATGTGCTGTGGAGTCGGTTCCGACTCATAGCGACCCTGTACAGGGTTTCCAAAGCTGTAAATCTTTATGGGAGCAGAAATCCTCATCTTTCTCCCTCGGAACAGCTGGTAGTTTCGAACTGCTGACCTTGTGGTTCGCAGCCCGATTCATAACCACTACGCTACCAGAGCTCCCAAGGCCATATACTCTGTTGTTATTATTGTATGCTGTTGCGTACATTCTAACTCATAGAGATCCTGTATAGAGTTTCCAAGAGAGGCTGGTGGGTTTGAACTGCAGACATTTTGAATGACCAATCCAGTGTTTATCCTATAGCATCACACCAGGACTCAGACATTCTGTTAGGGATATGCTATTTGATCTTATTTAACCATCACCACAATCCAGATCAAGAAACTGGGCTCAGAGAGGTACTAAGACCTGCCCAAAATCACACAGCTCAGTCCATAGCCGTAGAGGTGATTCCAATTCCCAGTGTCCCTGTGGGACAGAATAGAACTGCCCTCTAGGGTTTCCAAGGCTATCATTTTTATGGAAGCCCACTGCGAAGACTGCACATCACTACAGCAATCAAGTGCTTAACCACTGAGCCACCAGGGCTCCTTAGTCACACTGCTATCAGAGTGGGACGCCCATCTGGCTGACTCCTAAGTACAAGTCTTAGACTCCCACTCTTTCTAGTCCTAGTCTTTCCCAGAGTTCTGCCTAAGTTTCCTAGGTCTATAGATGCTCCCAGAAATGCAGATATGTCAGGAATCCTGCCATTTCACACAGGATCATCTTTCACAGTAAAGCTTAGTGGGAAACCCCTATCTTGCTGCCAAGCACAACAGCTTCAAGCTGCCATAAACCTCTAAATTCAATGTACAGAACCATCAAGACACTAATTCCCAGGACCGCCACTTCCACCACCAAATCTTTACATGCACTGTAACATCCTTTACAAGCATGGGTTTCATATTTTCAGTTGTTTTGAGAACGTTGTTGTTATTAAGTGCCGTTTTGAAAATAGGGATGTTCAAATACTCTTAATAAAAAGGCTACAAAATTAACTTTGAGATGAACATGAGATGACAGACTGGCATTTTAGGTTGGACAGATATTAGATATTATCTAAAAGATAAAGTTTATTAGAATTTGTACTTAGGGGCTGCATTGAGACAAAAGATTACTGTCATCTTGGCGTATGGGCCTTTGTTGGTATTAAATAGTTTTAAAGGAGAGGTGTCAAGGGAGTTCGGATTGGGGCATGTTTTGAGAACAAGGAGAGCTGACATGACTGCTGTAATCAAATACAAAAGAACCTTCCTGAATTATGAATGTGGAGCCAGTCACTGGTATTAAATTATTAGTAATGGAAGGAGTGATTTACAACAGAACTAGTACTTGGGGCAAGTGTATGCTAAAGGCCCGTCATATTCTAGACATTGTTGTTGTTGTTAAGTACCATGGAGTCGGTTCCGACTGACAGTGACCCTGCCCAGGGTTTCCGAGGCTGTAAATCTTTAAGGGCGCAGAACGCCTCATCTTTCTCCCGCGGAACCGCTGATAGTTTCTACCTGCAGACCTTGAGGTTAGCAGCCCGATTCATAACCACTACGTTGCCACAGCTCCATATCCTAGAATTAGGGGGTCTGAATTTCAGGGTGCAGGCTAAGGCGGGGGTTAGGAGTTAGGGTTTAGGAAGTCCACAGCTGGACAGCGAAGCCAAGGCGGCGCAGGAGTAGTCGGGCAGTGCCGGGCGGTTGGACCCAGAGCAGCGAAACTCCTGCTGCCTGCCCTCTCAGCCCACCCTGCCTGCTTACCTTCTGTTGGAAGTAGAGAATCGAGTAGTCCCTGGCTACCGTAGGGCGGGATGTGGGTCTGCTTGGCAAGTGCAGGCTGCCGAGGGACCTCAGGGCTGGCGATCGGGGGATGGTGGCTCCGGGCACCAGGAGGGGTAAGAGCAGTAGCAGGAGCAGGAGGGAGAAGTGCCCCATGGCTCAGGAGGACCGCAGCAATGCCGGTGGAAGAGCCGAAGTGTGTGTGGGGGGGGGGGGGAGGGGGGAGCGGACTCACGCTGCCTGAGCCCAGCCCTCACCGATGCTCCGCCCCGCTGCAGACCGGCTCCGCCCCTGAGGAAACCCATAGCCTCTCCGCCCCTTAGCGCCTCTGCCCACTTAAACCAGATCGCCCTACTCACTCAGCCTCAGCCCCCAAGGAGCCGCCTCCACTCTTTACTTCCACCTTCATTGTGGCCATCTAGCAAGTTTGCTGCTCCTATAACCCGAAAGCCACCTCCTACCTCACCTCCATACCCTATCCTTACCTAGATCTCCCACCAAACTACATCTCAGCCTGGTCAACCCACATCCCCCAAACCGCCAAACTCTGCCCCAGCAACCTCAAACCTGTTGCCTCACTCCCTGCCCTCCGCATATCTCAATCTAATAGCTGCCATGACAATTCACCGATCGTTCACTACGTGCCAATGTATCGCTAGACGTCATGGCACACACACACAGAACTCAGCCATCACGGAATCTTGTGTGTCATGTACCATGGTTATTCCCAGTGTTACTCCCTTGAGGAAGTCGAGGTTTGGAGAGGTGTTGTGACTTGTTCTGGGTCACTCTGCTAGCAAGAAGTCGAGCCTGGCTTCGCAGACCGCTAGGTCCACCTCCCTAGACTGGACTTCTCCCACCCCATCTCCATGCCATCCTAACCATCCCCTTACGGTGCCCGGTCCTTGACTCACCCCTGACCTCCAAATCGTCCATCCCTTCAGGAGGTCACTCCCAGCCCACCTCTCCCCGGGGTCCCAGTCCCTTCATCCAGGTAACGCCCCTTTTCTTCTCCCAGCTCCGGGTAGCAGGTTCCAGGTCTCGCCTCATTCCCTCCTCCAGCTGCCCCTGGACAAAGCTATTCCCCTCAGACAGCGCCCCCTTCCTTCTCCATGATTCCAACACTCTTCATTCAGTTTCCGCTACCCTTTCCAATTTCCCCACCGGACTCTAGTCTGCTCTCATCCCTTCTTGGGGTTCCCCATAACCAGCTGGCGCAGCGATACGCTAACATCAACTTTACAGACTGCACCACTGCTTCACCAGCCAGAGAGCATTCCTCTATCCATTGTCGCTACCCTCAGTTTTTAAAAAAATGGTCTCTCCCAAGTGCTTACAGGATTCCGTTGTTAAACCCCTTCCCCGCAGGGACGGCTTCTGATTGGTTTTGAAGAAAGACTGCTAAACGTCACTGCCGGCGGAAGAAGCGGCGGGAGATTCGATTAGACTAGTATGGCGAGCTGCTAAATCCTGCTTGTTTACATCGGAGCGGATTAGAGTGTCGCCAGGGCTGGGTCCCATTCCAGTGCCCCAGGTGAGGAGCTGGTAGAAGAGGTTTTCGGGGAGCTAGAGGTTTGGAAACCCCTAAGAAGGTCATTAACGTCGGTGTGGATGAGACTCAGGGCCTTGATCTATATGTTGTTAATTTTCAGGGCTTCATCTGTAAAAGGACAACTATGAATCAGCCCTGAGTACGATAAACACTGAACTGTTAACCGCAAAAACTGCAGTTCAAACCCACCAAACCCTATACAGACCTAATATGTGTTTGAGTTGAAAGTTTGAGTTAATGAGGGCGTAACAATAAAAGGGTGGCGCTGTGGGTTAATGCGTCAGATGACAAAGCGTTTGAACTTCAAGGTCGGCAGTTCAAGCTCACCAGCTGCTCCTCGGAAACCCTATATAGGGTCACTATGGGTCGGAACCGACTCGACGCCACTTAACAACAACAACATTGCTGTTGAAACGTTTACCGACCACTTACACAGGATGAATATACAAAACCGTAAACAGAATAGGCGCGACTTCCGCTTCTGATGCACATTCAGCTACTATGTGCATTACTATTGTTGGAAAGGGGTCCTTTACAGGCGACTTTGTTGGCTCTGCGGGAAAAGTGGTTAACCGAGAGTTAGCTAAAACCAGAAACTTTAAAGTTTTCTAGAGCTTTTTTCTTCGTCCCACATTCAGCCAGTCATATCGACCTCTTGAATATCTCAAATCCAAACATTTCTTGTAAATTTGACCAGTACACTCCCCAATTAAAACCTTTCAGTCATTCCTGTTTGCTCACAGGTTTAAATCAAAACTCCTTAACCAGACATACAGGCCCTTCTTGTCTGTCTTTGACTTGCTTTACCAGCTTTGTTTTCCACTACTTTGGCTCTGGGCTGTAGCCAGACATAATGTGTTTTCAGACCTTCAAATGCCCCATTCTTCCTCTCACCTCCCAACCTAACCAATTCTTATTCCTCAGGTCTATTTACATAGCCTTTTAGGCTAAGATGCTCTTCCTGATGATCCAACAGCTATAAATAGATGATGGTAATCTGATAAAGGGGTCCTGGTGTGGCTTAAATAGAATCAGGCTGCTGATCTCACCATCAGCAGTTCCAAACTACCAGCTGTTCCGAGGGAGAAAGATAAGGCTTTCTGCTCCCCGTAAAGATTTACAGCCTTGGAAACCCTGTACAGGGTCGCTATGAGTCGGAACGGACTCCACGGCACATAACAACAACAATCTGATAAAGGAAGTCCTGGTGTGGCCCTGTAAGAATAAGTACTGACAAGGTGGCAGTTCAAATGTTCAAATCTGCGAGCAGCTCCTTATGCGCCCTATAGAGAGTGGCTATGAGCCACACTGTCTTGACAGAACTTAATCTGATAGAGGGATAGCAAAATATATGGGGTAGGTGTTGTGGGTGCATAAGTGAATGATGGTTGCTAGATATGGAAACAGATTTGTTGGTATGTTCCATCAAGTCAGTTTCAACCCATGGGGACCCAGTATAGGGTTTCTGAGAAATGAGTGGTGAATTTGAACCACTGATCGGCAGTGCTACGCTTATCCTACAGCGCCACACCAGGACTCCTGGAAATAGACTTAAGAGTGATTACGATGTGAGATGAGAGGAAAAGGAAGGAATGAAAGCTGATTCTTCAATATCTGGCCTGAGCCACTGGTTGGACAATGGTACCATTTATTGAGATAGAGAAAACTGAAGGGAAAGAGTTTTGGGGGAAAATTAAGAACTTTTATTTAATAGGTTTTTTTGCCTATTGAAACTTGGCATGTCTTTGTGTTGGTGGTTCAAACCCACTAGCTGATCTTTGGAAACCCTATACAAGGGACTCTGTTAGTTGGAACCAACTCCACAGCATTTAAAAACAACAACATGAAATAGGCAGTTGAGATACTCAAATCTGGAGCTGAGAGTAGATACCAGGCAGGGCCCAAGAGATAAATATGGATATCACCAGTCTAAAAGGACATTTAAAGGCATGGTATTTTAATGATTGGAATTTATTAGGGAGAGACTGTGAAAAAGAAGTTGAGACAAAACCAATGAACCTGAGAAAGAGCAAACAGTGAGACAGGAGAAGAGTGTTTCTTCAATTATTGCTAGGGCTTTCTTTAGTAGTATTTTTCACAAAGCTGTTAGCCCTTTGGGGTAGTAGAGACTGTTTTATTCCCTGTTTTAGCTCTAGTACTTGACCAAAAATATTTCTTTCTGAACTGTTGAGATATTGTTGTTAAGTGCTGTGGAGTTGTTTGACTCACAGCGACCTGCATAGGGTTTCTGAGGAGCTTTTTGAACTGTGACTTTGAGGTTCAAACTGACCTTGTGGCCCGGTGCTTATACTGCAGCACCTGGAATAGTGCTGGTGAGAATTGATAAGTTAGTAAGTAAAGACTTTGAAAAACAAAGGATGTCCTTTCTTTTATATCTCAGAGATATTTCTGGAGGTAGAATCAAGACTTAAGATAAGAATAGTAAGACATGCTTTGAAGACAGAACACACAAAACTTCTTGACACCTTGGTACTTCTCCTGTAATACACTGTCTGTACCTTTATTATTAGTTGTGCATTTTTTCTTTCTCTGTAACCCTGTTTCCTTCCGCACCCCTAGCATAGTACTTTAAATGTCATCAGTGCTTATAGATAATCGAGTAAATGAGCAAACTGTAGGTTGTACTCACTAAGAGCTTCCTGGGTTATGTTGTTTTGTTTTTATTAGACTTTTTATTGTGAATTGAGTGTTTTACAGAACAGATTATTAGTCCCACATGCAAAAAATCATACACTTAGTGTCATTACAATGACTGCAATCCCTTCCAAGTACCATCAGTTACAATATTTACCTCCTTGCATGTCTTAGCTCTCTAACCAGGTCATAGGTCTCATTTCTTAAGGATGCATACCAGGTAGAGAGATTGCTGGGTCATATGCCATTTCTATTAACAACTTTTTTAACAGTTGCACCATTTTACATTCCCACCAGCAGTGTATTAGGGTCCCAGTCTCTCTGTACATTTAGCAGCATTGTTTTTTGTTTTGTTTTGTTAACTTTGTTATAAATACCAAGCTAAGAGTATCATATTGTTGTTTTCATTTGCATCTCTCTAATGGCCATGTATCAGAGCTCTTAAATTTGTTCCTATTTTTCCATTGATGATCTTTATAGTTCTAGGTTTTAAAATTATGTCTTTAATCCAAATTGAGTTTGCATTTGTATGTGGTGTGAGATAGGGGTCTTGTTTTATTCTTCTGCAAATGGATTTCTAGTTTTGCCAGCACCAATTGTTGAAGAGACTGTCTCTTTCCATTTAATGTGTTTTGTTTATTTGTGTTATTTCTTCCATATTTAATGTGTTTTGCCCGTTTGTATATAGTAAGTGTAGATCAACTGACCTTGGGTGGATGTATTTATTTCTGGATTCTTAATTCTGTCCCACTGATCTCTGTGCATGTCATTGTTCCATTGCCAGCCTCTTTTTGGCTAATATGGGTGTTAGTAGGTTTTAAGATCAGGAAGTGAGAGACCTCCTACTTCATCCTTCAGTACTTTGCTTATCCAAAGTGCCTTTCCTTTTCATATAAAGTGGTTGTCATTAGGTGCCGTCAAATCAGTTCAGGCTCTTAGCAACGCTGTATGTAACAGAACGAAACACTGCCTGGTCCTGCACCATTCTC